AAGATCCTGCTAATAAATTATGTGAAAGATTGAAACCACTTACTAGCAACCTTATTGGATTTTATCAGAGCGGTCTTAGACCTGGTCGTTGCGAAATGGGTCTGGCGGTTAAGAGGAAATATACTCGTATGCCGGCTACCAGCAGGATGTGAAGGAGAATGAGCTAGTATTTGGGTACTATATTTATCTTTGCGCCGCCAACAACAGTAATAGTGATGCCAGCCTGGAGATCCAGCGAAGGTGCAAATATTGCGATTCGCTGCCATTGCGGACTCAATAAGCAATTAGAATGTAGAGCTCTCTCTCGACAGAGGTTTAGTAACGCTGCTTCTGTGCGGCGCTGTCAAAATGTATGGTTGGCGTGTTCGAGACAAAATTCCTTTGTAAGATTTGTTGATCATGTTGTGATAATAAATTCGATGCAAGAGTCGGTGGTAAAAGACATAGAGATAGACCACATCTTCGGTGGAGTAACCAAGTAGCAGAAGAACAAAAACTTGGTGTGCGAAATTGGAGGTGGAAGGCTTCAGACCAAGTCCCATTATGACTGAAGGTTAATTAAAGGAGAAAAACGTCGTATATATCATAAGACTTGATGTCTCCCGCACGTCACCTATGATTTTTGGGTTAGCGCCATTTCTTCCAAAGACCATGTAGAACTTCTCTTCAAGAAATCTCGAATACTTTCATGCATTAGAATTTTTAGAACCTTCCTAAACTCTCACCGTGAGTAACATCTAGGAAGTTATTTCACAAATTATCGATGAATACGAGTTGCCTTGCGATATGACGGCCGTAACAGCCAGTTTTGTGAAACTTCAATTTGATAGCGTAAATAGCAACTCCTTTTTCCTTACCCTTAAACAGGGTTTATATTGCCGTTGCAACCGCAATAGTCACTTTTTTTAGTTATAATATGCAATCCTCTACAGAAACTTTCAAGATCTCAACTGAACTAATTATGCGTAAAAAGCGGTACTAGAATTATCATTTTACTGTTTTTCCGGAAATCAGTTTACAGAAGAATAAGAGAGGTCAACTAAGTTGGCAAAAGCGGAAAATCACTAACGAAAACCTTCATTGTTTTCAATTTCAAGCACAACCAAAGTCTTGCTAAGAAAGGGAGCTAAAACGTGTTATATGAAGTTATATAGTATATACATACATATGTTAGTACAAAGTTTTCACAAAAACACTCGGAGCTGCTATTAATATAATGACATAAGTTGACAATTCACTTAAAAAAGGCGAAAACTTCTTCTAAGTTCTCACTGACTTGTTGCAAGCATTTCAAGTGCGGTGGCTTCTAAGCAGCGTTAGATGAAATTGAATTGATCGTATTAGCGGAGCACTACAAGCGTTGAATCCATGAGAACGTCAATTAATTTCCGGTGAAAATTTCTAACAAACAAATAACTACAAACTATAGCATTTTGTGGGGAAAGTATTTTTTTGGTGTCGACACGAAATTTTCTTTGATTATTTCATGGAGTGGAGGTGAGTGTGGGTGTGGGTGTGCGAGATAATATTAGAAAGATGATAAACGGTGGAGGTGCTGGATGAATGAGTTTCTGCAAAGGTTGCGCAAAGCATACATATTAGCGCTAGAAAGCATATACTTATGTATGCATATATGTTTGTGTATGTATGTATGTATGTGTGTGTATATAGCACATGTGTGCATGTCAATTTAACTTTTGTTAGTGCGAGGAAAGTTATTGTAGGCAGAGTCACACTTGACTACCGTCTGATTGTTTCAAATGAGAATCTGTACAGAAGAACAGCCATACAAATATATATATGCGTGTGGCACAGAGCGTTGCTCGCTCAAGCTACGTATTTGGCTGACATTTCGTCATGGTTTCTGATTTTAATTTCCTTCGTGGAAAATCCAAGTCAATAATTCAAAGTTCATTGATGCGTGGAAGCTGAAATATAAATAGTGTAAGCTCGTGCACTCACCAAGCTAATGTAGTTAAAATGCATAGCACTAATTTAACGGTGTTTAAGTATTATATACAAAAACTTGCATACTTGCTATGTGTGTGTATGTCCACACTTTAGTCTGTCAATTTGTCACATTTGCCACACTTGTTGTTGTTACAGCAAATCTTTACACCGGGCCAGAGCAAACATGAGCGGAAGCAGCTATGCATACTAACTAACAGCGTTTGCTGACTGGCTGTCATCAACTGCAAGGGTCTCACTTGGCTGCTGCATCAGGGCGACCCAACACTGCGGCAGAAATCGTATTTGATATGCACCGAAGGTGACATTTGATTTGTTGTATTCCTAATGACACTTGTCCGTCATCCGCTTCCGCCCGCTTTAACTCCACTTAACGCCCGCTCAGCGGATGATAGCAACTAGTGCCATACATTTGAGAAACTAAACTCGTAGACAAGCAGGCCTCTTGTGTGCGATTTATGTTAAATTTAGCCGCAATGCTGCGACGAACTGTCATGAATGTTCGTGCTTTAAGAACACAATTGTGAAGACTTGTGACTAATGTGGTGCTTTTATCCATACCAGTGTATCCGGCTGTATGATCTAATGTAAGGTGAAATTATTGCCTTGTGGCACAGAACTGGCAGAATTCTGAAGAGGTCTTGCAAATAAGTGTTGTCATTAAGTTTGAGACATACTCATTTATTTTTGTGAGTTCTTTAACAAACATAGCTCTCTTACAAGCAAATTGTTGGAGTGATTTGTGGGTTCAAATCTGAAATTACGGAATTCAAATTCTTTGTTGAGTTTATCTCGACAGGTGTTGTTAACATTTCACAGTATTTCTTACATGCAGGTTTCTTCTGGTGTCAGATATCATAAAAACATATCCCTCAGCTGCGAGAAGTAGCTCGGTCAAACATTTATTTTAAGTGTAAGTCTGTCAATTAATGTACCTAATGCTTTTCATATATGGTAAAGAGCTTCAATACTCAAAAGTTTTTTTATTTTTTTGTGAGGAAAATATATAGCAACTAGCGGACCCGACAGACGTGTTAGGATAATTATGTAGGTTTGAAAAATTTTATGAAGAATTATATAAAATATATACTTCAAAACAGTAAGAAATTTCAAAATAAATAGTTTTAAGAAATATCCGTAAGAAGAAAGAATGGATATACCAAAAAGTATGTGTTCAGCCAAACTACACCATACACATGTCTATAGTCTTCATAGTTTAAACTATACTTATGCTATCTTAGAATCTGATATCTGCGTCATCTACCATACTCAAATATACTTTTGAATACCTGACACGACTGCAGCGCAGTCTGTGGGAATTCTATTTAAAACGTTCTAACGTGAACAACAATAAATAAATAAATTCATTATTAAAGCGTTATCTAGTTAATCGAATAAACCATTCTCAAACCCCCATGAATGCACACAAAAATTTTCATCAGAATCGGTCAAGCCGTTTAGAAGAACTTCAAATACAAACACACGTGCAGAAAATTTATATATATAAAGATTTGTGGTAACAAATATATTTCGTTTTGAGAAATTTTGTATACCATTTTTACAATTGAAAATAGTAATAATATTAATTTGTTGTTCTGAAAACTTGCACCCACAACCCAGTTGTACTTTAAGTTGTTTTTAGCGATTGTTTCTCAAGGCGATATTCGTATACGAGGTGTGTAAAAAGGAAAAAGTGAATTTTGAATTTTTTTTGAAAAGTACTTAGTACTTTGTCCCCTTCGAAATAATCCACCTCGGATTTAATACATTTGTGAAAATGCTTTTTCTCCAATCCTCGAAGAACTTCTGAAGTGCGCTTTTTGGTATGGCCATCAGCTCTTTCTTCGATTCAGACTTGATCTCAGCAATTGTGATAAAACGCATTTCATTGGTTTCTTCAGTTTTGGGAATAGAAAAATGTCACATGGAGCCAAAATGAGCCGTTTAAGCAAACCCGAGTCGTTGTTGACGTCATCCAACAACTCCTGAGCGATACTAATTCGACATTGCTTTTGCTCAAAATTTAGCAATTTCGGAACAAACTTCGCTGCCACACGTTTTATGCCCAAAACATTCGAGAAAATTGAATGGCATGAGCCGATTGCCAATTTTTCTCATTGATTCGATGTTTTCTTTGCTTGTTGACGTGGTCGCACCTCCAGGATGTTCATCGTCATCAACATCTTCTCGGCCTCGTACATATATACCGTGTATTATATTCGGTCTGGAGGCCAGCTGGCAGCCCCAGCTTAGGATAGGGATTACCCAATGTGGCCATATACCCCTTTCAGGAGTAACAGCAATAAATATTAAAAGAAATACATATTTTATTTGCAACTTATTAAAATTATAAAAATATGTCTCAAACCGAATTCGAATGCCCGAAGTATGAATCTTAATTGCGAATTTTATTTTATCATAGTTGGAAAAATCTACCCAATAATATATTTACTTCAAACTAAAATATCTTTAAACCCATTATTTATCCAGCATGCATACTTACTCCATCACAGTATTTTTATATCTCTTGATGTCAGTATTTGTGGCAGCTATATGCTATAGTAGTCCGATCTGAACAATTTTTTGGACAATAATCTTTGCCAAATTTTGTGAAGATATCTCCTTAAATAAAAAAGTCGTACAAGGGCATGATTTTGATCGTTAAGTTTGTATGCTATAGTGGTGCGATGCCGGTGAAGTCAAATCGCACCATTTTCGTAGCTAATTCAATATAATTCAAATCTAATATAATATAAATATTCAGAGCTCTCAGTATATATGATTAAAAAATTGTAAACGAAGTACGAACGACAGAAATGTGACAAATCTATGTTTCGTAGCAACTTCATGGATATTCATTTTATATTGCATATCATTTGCTAAAGTGTGACACGAAATTAGCTATTTTAAAGAGCTGTTTTATCACAAATATTAATTAAATTTCGTAAAACCATAAATAACAAACAGGAAAATGACCAACTGATGTACTCTACTCATAAAGCCTTTCACAACCGCACTTATTTATTACTTACCTTAGCGCTGAGCACAATCAGAGAGAGTGACAGGAAGACGGTCGCCTTCATTTTCTTGTTCACGGCGAAAGGGCGATTGAGAATACGTAAGGACGAGCAAAAAAAAAATAATAAAGATGCACGGCGGCAATCAGCGTTTATTGTTACGACGTGTTAAAAGCGTATAAATTGAGTTATGGAAAATCAGCAGGACTGAGGAGAGTGGAAAATTATTATATTTTTTACATACAAAATTCGACCATTATAACTCACTGAGCGCGGCACTTCACTTACTCGTTGCTCTTATGGGGTTTTGAGTACCCTTGCGTGGGTGACTCTGGTGCGTCCGGTGCTTAAAAGCGGGACAAGCGCTGCAGTGGCGGGCGTTAAGAAACGTGTTAGGTTTCTAAACTGTTACAACTTTTAAGTGCTTGGTAGCTGATTGCAACGGCTGGAGGTAGAATGTGGAGAAAAAGTTCAAAAATGAAAGCAATGTAATACGAGCGAATGCCTAAAGAAGGAAATATGAAGGAAGTTAGTGTTGCCGAGGCGAGGCGGTTTAGTGAAAACTGACACCGAAATAAAAACTGAGTTGGCACATGTATGCCAGTCGGCAGGCAAGCACACAGCCTACACCATAATGTATATTTTATTAAATAAAATTAACTGAAATTATAAAAAATTTAAAAGAACCCCAAGAGAAGAGCGTACTGTTTTTCAATGATTTACCGGCGATTTTTTGTTTCCAAATAAAATTACTGTCACTTCACTATTTTCAAACAAATGATTTCTGAGATATTTTTTCAAACGAAAAACCGTTACAATACGCGATTGCTGGAAAGTCACTGTTGAGTTGGCTAACTTTTGACGACAACCGTTAACTTTGCTAACCGTCCGTACAATGAATACGTTATCAGCGCGACATATCCTTTTATAGCGCCATCGGGAAGTATGCAAAGCCGATGCTGTTGCCGAAGTTTGCGGTGTTGTCCGCTTTAACGACATAACTTTGTATGCATATGTGTGCACTTAACTGTTTTGCGGAGTTTTCATAACAGTTATTTGGATAACGTATACAACACTTGTTGCCGAAGCGGCATTTATGCTTGCATGTATGTTTGCGTGTATATGGATATTCAAATATGCGAGAATGTTTGTAAATTCATAAAAAAGGAATATTATAATATTGCCACAGGTTGAATACTAATACGAGAATGGCGAATAACAAAAAATAATTAAAATTAAAGAAATACATTTTTTATATTTTATTTATTTTTTTTCTTACTCCTTAGCGTTAGTAAGCATATTTCTACCGGCTTTCAGAGAAAGCTCATAAAAGCTCCACCATTATTGCTCACTACAGTGCTTTTCTATGAACTTCTACTCGCTGAGAATAGTTCGAAAGCTTTTAAAACTTTGGATTATAGCACCTAAGTGCTTCGATATTACCACAGTTAATATTATTACTCTTGTATTTGAAAGCTGTTTACCGTAGTTAAATAGAACGAAGAGTTATTCATGTAACTTTTTCTTATTTCAGAGACTCAGCTTTGTAGCTTAGATATGAGTGCAAATTTCAATCACGCTTTCTCTAGAACCACGTTTTCGGAGAAAAAGTTTAGTAAGTAAGTAATTGTAAGAGATTTAACCGCATTACTATAATCGAAAAAACTGGTAAGATACCAATTGGCTTTCTTTGTAAGATTATTTTCTTTGAGAATTTAGATCAGTTCGATCTTCTCTGAATCCACGTGTTCGGAAAAAAAATTGCCAATACAAAAACCACCTGGTAAGCGGCCAATTGGCTTTTTTTAAGGCACTTTGAGTTCTTAGATCAGTTATTTAAAGGAGTAATCGAAGTATGATCGGTGTCGAATGATCAAAGTTTCGACGAAAATACTTCAAACCAAAATGTGCTCTAGGAAGAACTTTTGCGCATAACGAATAATTGTCAATCCCAAACCTGGCCGGCTTGGCGCGATAAAGAGAATGATTATATATGTATGTATGTATCTAATTTGTATAATTTAAAATAAATAATTTTCTAGTGTTTATTTTTTAATATTTTTATTCTAAGTCACAAAAACTTATGCTATTATACTCCTACTATATATTTTGTGAAATGAATTCATTAAAAAACTAATTTACATTTATACTTATTTACTTAATTTTATAAAATTATCTAATCAATTCTAAAAAACTTGCAATGTTTTTATTATTTCTTTAAGCCCAGTTCCTCGGTAACTGGTGGGGCTATAGCAAAACTTGCCACTTGTCTCGGATGATGTGGAGCATCGCCGCGATCGTAATAGCCGTAATGTTCGCCCGGCACATGGTAGAGACCGTAATGTATGCCGCTATTGGCGACCTGTGGCAATGAATTGGAAGGATGAGAAAGCTACCAATCAAATTTTTATTAATTTTATTTCTTAATCGAAGGAAAATTAATAATCAAATTAAAGATATTTTGCTCTAAAGAAAATTTTGGAAAATAAAATTCAAAACATTCGTTTCACCTTCTTGAGGCCATTGATGGAAGCTAATAGCAGCGCCATTTTCGCCAAAAGCAAAGCTTTACCGCTCACAATGGAGAGCATCTGAAAGCCCATGGGTACAAGCACAGCACCTAAAGCGGTGACACCGAACATCATCGTTATCATCATATTGTAGCGTTGGCGACGATGGCGGGCGGTGCCCAGTTCATCGGCAACCAACTTCTTATTATTTGCTATGTACAAATACACATAAAACACAGACCAATAATAAACACAATTTAAGTTTCACTTAAATTTCAACTGACCATTCTTTTCTAAAGCTCCAATATAAGCGTCGGTTAGCTCCTGCAAGTTCACTTGCAAAAAATGTGTGCTCAACGTTTGTGCCAGCCGCATGGCGAGTTGATCGAACCAGGTGAGATGTTGTAGATCCTTGCGCTCATAATACTCGCTGAGGCCTTTCGCCTCACTAAAGTAAATCAGTGTATTAGTATATGAAACTTTTCGTGTGCGATATTTTAAATTTAATTTACATCTCGTTCGTTACATTTAGCGTTGTGAGCGCGCGCACCAGGCGAACTCCGGGCCACAGGGATATAATATTGGAGGACAGGATGTCATCGAAAACACGTACACTACTCGTTTTAAAGCAGTTCCACATAGAGTCGCTGGTTTGCTGTTTTTTTTTTTTTATAAGCATTAAAACTACTCTTCACTTGTTTTCGTACTTTTTATTCTCACCTGAACGCAGTGCTTGATGTGCTGCCGCAGTTGCTTCATCTCCTGCACCCACATAATGCGCTCATTGTTTACTTCTTCATTGGACCCATCAATTCCGGCACTAAATTTGTGATTTTTATGCAAATTTAACTGGAAAGATCCTCCTTTAGCACTTGTGAACCATATCACGCAGAGTAGTAGTGCACACCACAATACATTTGACTTAAAGGACATTTTTTTAAAATTTGTATATAAATTTTTTTTATTGTTTCATACACTTCCTCTAATATTATCCTCTATATTTTCACAAATATTTTCGCACTGAGTTTATTTGACCCGCAAGTTCGATTTTGCTATATTTTATGTACGCACCGTCACGCCAACCGTCACTGAGAACTTCACTGCGCCGATACAGCGATATTTATACGACATAGTGCACTCTTGTGCCAGCTCAGTGACTACTTTCAAATAGTCCATTTTATTAGCGAACGCTATAATTATTCGGCTCCATTGCATTGAACGTTGAATTGCGGTTTCGGTTCAAACGATGCATTCATGCAGCTGCATATGTACATAAATACATATGTATATGGCTAGGTGCACAGTCGTTGTAAGTTTGGGAACCACTGCCTTGAACTTGGCAGTTGTTTTGTTTGTATATGTATTTGAATAGTTGTTTACGGGTGACCCAATACACTCATTATAGTTAGCGGAGAATTGTCATCAATGAGGTTGAAATCGAATGTAATCGATTCACATATTTATGAAAATTTGTAAAAAAGGGAAAGAGTTATTATTATAATTATTATGATAGTAGTTAAACCTTTTGAGCATATGTCTTTTCGACCATTATGCATTCAAAAGGTATGTTTGCAAAGTTTTAAGCTTCTAAGTTCGATTTGCTCTATAATCAATACTACCGCAAGGTAATTTCGTGGTATGCTTTGTATTGTTGGTGTTCCAAGATCTGAGATTTTGTTTTAGCAACCATTTTTAGGGTATTTTAAGTTTGACACGAAGTTTGTAATACTCAGAAGGAAATGTCGGGGACTCTATAAATGATGAGCGTGGCGTAGCAATGTCCATCTGTCTGTTTGTCTCAATTTTTGAGATATCGATCTGAAATTTTATACACGAACCTAAGAAGCTGCTAAGTTTCCGGAACTAATTAGATCAAAATCAAGTAATAGTATAGAAAACTTCTTTATTTTACAAGATAACTTTACGAAATTTGGCATAGATTGTGTGTGGCGAAATACTTCATTCTACGCTAAATTGAAGAAAATGATTATACCACTTTTATGAAAGGTCCGCCTAGTCTCTTGTAATACAACTCGCTAATTTAGTTGCTGCTTTTACATGTCAATTTTTGACAAGAGAACAGCGCCCAAAGATAACGTGCAGAGAAAAGGCAAATCCAAGAGTGCCAACATATTTTAGTTAACTTGGAAAGGCTTAACGAAATTTTTGGTGTTTTAAATTACATATGACCCTCTTCCAGTGGAGAAGTTTTACTCAAATATACTTGCTATTGAATTATTTTATAAGCAATATGTTCATACACTTATTCTTCCAACAAAATACTCTCCACTGTGATATTGTTAAATGATCTAGAGGAATGAGAGAAATGTTTTCGAAGTTCGCGCCTGCAATATGAACAAACGAAAAAAACAATAAGGAAAGAAGTGAAGGGCTATCACAGTACCAATTTGTGAGGTTAATTTGTCCCATAAAAACATAAAAGAATTAAAATTAAATGTCGATTTATTCCCGCAATTTTCTTTCTTTTGCGAATAAAATTAAATTAAATTTTTCTTATGGATTGAAAAATTGTAATATTACATTTTCTTCATTGATATTGCTGTGTGATACGAATACCTCTTATGGGGAATCGTTTTTGGAAATATATAAACTTATAGCATACCAAGACACGTCGTGAGCCAAAGATTGAGAAGGTATAACATAGAAATACCAAAGTATATACATATCTCTAAAACGGACTCTAATGAAATTAAGAAATTAAAACTATTATAATATTTATTTCTAACATTCTAAGTTCTCACATTTTTGGTTCTCACAACAAAGTATGAGAATAGTAGTGCTTCACTACCGTCAGGTAATTTGTCGAATGTAACGTTTGAAAAAAATCCTCATTAAGTAAAAGCAATTTGTTTACTGTTTTTAAAAGGTTTTACATTTGTTCTAATAAATTATTTTATTCTTTATTTATTTTTCCACTTTTAATTTATTAAATTTACTATTTATCATAATTTCATATTATATATGTCTATATGTATGTATATATTAATTTGATTTATAACAATTCATTGAAGTTTTAAAGAACTTCTTAAAAGAGTGCAAAGTTCGTATAATTTTCTAACCTGTGATTTATTTCTATTTATGTTTCATTACTTATTAGTTCAAAAAATCTAGTTTTTATTTATTATTATTTTTTTTTTTTCTTACATAGATTCGCACATAGCGAGAGGTCACTCAAGAATTGTACGAAAACAATTTTACGGACAGTATTTTATAGCTCTTCTCTACACAATTAATAAATAAGTTACACTGTATGCTATATCTTTTTGAGTTTGTTGTTGTTTTTTTGTTTTTCGTTTTTTCTGCATTTGATTTCACTTCGTCCTGTATGTGTAGGTGTGTATGATTTTCTGAAAAGTTGGCAAAAGTGTCTTCTCTAAAATACACATTTACTTATTTGATTTTGTTTGTTATTTTTTGCGTGTATCTCCTGCTTCTTTAAATATATACTTATACTTTTCATATATAAAATGTGTACTGTTTCGTTTTATCGCCTTTGAAAATCGTTGAAATATAATATATGTTTTCATAGCAAAAAATATATGTATTTATGTATATTTGTGTATGTGTCTTCTTTAATATTTGCTCAATTGATTTATTTTGTATAATTTTTTATTTGCATGTTTTGGTTTAATTTTTTTTTTGTAATAATTGCTAACAACAAATGTTTTATTTTATAAATATTTATTAATTAAAATTTATTTAACGATATACTTATTTGAGAGCAACTACTTTTCGACCGCTAAAGGCAATGCCAACTCCAACTGCTTTATCACGAGCCTGGTGTGGTCGTTGTGCTTGTCGTTCCCCGTCCGAAACGTGGCAAATAGAGACCGAATTTCGATTCAATACCATTGAGCAGCGGCACAGCAGCACGATAGCCACCAATGTGGTCTGAGTTTAATCTTTGTGTGGTCTCGTCGAGAACCTTTGGCTTGGTCACCACCGAACCGGTTGGGTGTGAGCCGCCGAAATCGACATAGAAGAGACGCTGCAGCAACTCATAAGTGACCAAGGTTACACCGAATTGTGGCGAAGAACGGAAGACACGAGCTGCAATGAAAGTGTGAAGATTTTTTAATACATTTCTCCACATAGCTGTGCTTAATTTATGCACAGTTTCAAAACTTACCAGCAGTTCCCTTCCAGAAGGCGCGTGGTCCCTCTTCGGCCATGATTTTCTTTGTGGCATCCCACACGCCCGTGTAAGTGGTCTGACCTGAACGCGCCACGACCTGCAGACGAGTTTTGATCACATCCGCAGGCGTTACGAGCGAAGCAGCGGGTACACCAGCAATAGCACCAGCCGCCAGCAAGGTTAATGGATGATTATAGCTAATTAGTGAGATAGAAAAAACAAAAACAAGTTTTATTTCCGAAACGCCTTACAATTAATGCCCGACATGACTCACCCATCTTCGTCGGCGAACAGTGATTTTGTGTGCGCATAAGCGGGGAAGTAGATAGCAGAGAATGGCACATCGCGCAGCAAGCAGGCGCGTGCACCTTTGTACAAGCCAAACAAACCCAGATCACGAACAACAGATAAGGCACGTACTTTAGCTCCGCCTGCGATTTCACCGGCAACTTGGAGACGAATTTTGACGATTTCCAAAGGATTGGTGAACACCACTTGTGAGCCACCGGCCTGAAAGCAAGCATATAAAGTAACAGTTAGCCAAGTTAATATTTTCCTAAGTAGTACGGTCAAAAAAAGCTCGCCTGAGTACGCATTCCGTGCAAGCGCTAAGTAAGCTTAGGTAAGCTCTTATCTCTGCATGTGGAAATTATGAAAAAATGCTTTGCAAAACTCTACGCGTTGTATTGAGACAAGATTTTTCGACTACTTACACAAGCGCCGGACATAATTTCGGACCACAACGGTATCACACCCTGTTTATCGGTAAACTTGTCACGCACTAAATCATTCACAGTCAGCTTGATAGCTTTCTCCGGAGCCACGCCCATCAGCTGGGGCAACAAGCCACGATACAAGCCGAGTACACCCTCGTGACGTATAACCTATAACGGCATATTAAATAAATAGAACAAAAGTCCTCAAAACACAAATCTCAAATTATTCATTTACCTTCTTAAAGCAATCCCATGAGTTTCTGTAAGCGATTTCTCCAATAAAAGAGCCTGTGCGTTGATTTTGCATGCGTGTCTTTACCAAATCAATAGGGTACACCACAGTAGCACCAACAGCTAATTGGATAGGGATATTTTATAAGTTTCATATATGATATGTTTAATAAAAAGTATTACTCACCGCCGGCCAGCGAACCGAGCGTAAAGCGATAAGTGCTCTCCAAAATCTGTATGCCCAGCGAACGATCCGCAGGACTCTCAACGGCCTTGATCTCCGCCAAACGGGTCGTGATATGCTTTGTATAATGCTCTGGCGAAATGTTGTTCAGATCATTATACACAATGCGCCTGAAGATATATAGGGTGTTATTGATTGTTATTCGAAGTGTTTTGAGAAAACATATTTTAAGTTAAATAACAGTGAATAAGCGTAGAGGTATAATATATACATTTTAATAAAAAACGGTCAATATTAGAGGGGAAAAAATTGCGGAAAGGGAAATTGTATATTAAAAAGTTTAACGATCAAATTATATATATGTATGTATATCTGCAATTATTGTGAATTGTACAAAAACTATATTAAAGATATTGCAAAGCTCCACTTGTTTTCAAAACTTATGATGACAAATGTGTCTGACATATCTAAGTATGTGTGATATTAGAAATAAAATATATTTTTTTCAATATAAATACATACATACAAACACACATACATGTATATGACGTCATAATAGAAAAAAAAACCATTTTTGAACATAACTAGCAAAGGGAAAACGTAAAAAGAACACGCACAAATAAACACCACAATTGCAACCGTTCACTTGCCTATTGGGATCAATCTTTCTGCGTCGCCACCAACTATTTTTTATAACAATACACAATATGGTTATAACATAATTGATGTTAACATTTGAAGAGAGGACGAGAAAATAGAGAGACAACACGGGATAGTTAATAATATTTCAATCAGAGAAATAAATTTACGTTTTTAATTCTAATGTGAGAATGCGATGGACACAAATGTAAATCCTGAATAATTG